AAGGAAGAAAATAATGGTAATAATGATATATAATGGTGACTGCCGTATTGATAATTATAACTAAATGAACAAGAGCGATGGTAATGAAGATGATAATAATAGCAGAAGCATGGAAATACTAATAATGATAATAATGGTGATGATAGTACTGAGAGTAATGATGTCAGTGATACCAATTTTGATAATGATAATAGCAATATCAATGAATGTAATGGTTAAAAGGATGATAGTAATAAGGCAATCATTAAAGTGATAACATTAATTATAGTAACTGTACTAATTATAATAACAGAAATAATGATATTTACAGTAATAATAATGAAAAACGATAATAATAATCATAAATAGAATGATAATAACAACAATAAAGGTAATAACAATAGCGATGATAATGATTATGATAACAATAACAACGATAATGATAACAATATCAATAATGATGATAATAGTATTAATAGCAATGATAATAACAAAGATAAAAACAATAATTATGATAATGACCATAATAATAATGATAACGATAGTAATGACAAAAGTAGTAACAATGAAGATGATATTCATAATAACAATGATAATAGTAATAACAATATTGACAATAATAATATTGATAATAATAATGATAATAATAGTAATAACAATTATAGTAATATTGGAAATAATAACAAAGCTTGTGATAATGATGACGATGATGATCATTATGGAATAGTGAAAACAATAGTGATAACAACAACAACAGTTACAGTGAATGATTGTAATGATCACGACAATCATCACCATCATCACCATAATACTAATACTAACAAGTTCCAATACTACAACTACTCATGGACATAAAACATTCACGCACTCATTTTGAACCCTAACAAATGTTTATTTATGCCAGTACAAAGGCAGAGAATATCAGACAGAATTATCAGTTGTCTTGGGATCGGTAGAAGGGGATGGGCGCCCCTCGACCCAATCCTAATGTCAGGAATAATATTAATGATATGGATTTTATTAGCGTTATTGATATTCTTATCAGTTATTATTATTGTGATTATCATTATTATTGGTATTTTTGTTATTATTATTATTATTATTATTATTATTATTATTATTATTATTATTATTATTATTATTATTATTATTATTATTATTATTATTTTGATATTATTATATTTTATTATTAACATTATTATTATCATTACTATTATTTATTATTATATTATTATTTTATTATTATATTATTATTATTATTATTATTATTATTATAATATTATTATTATTATTATTATTATTATTATTATTACCATCAGTATTATCATCATTATTAACATTATTATCATTATTATTATTACTATTATTATTACTATCATTATTATTATTATTGTTATTATTATTATTATTATTATTATCATTATTATCTATTATTATTACTATTATTATTATTATCATTTTTATTATTACTACATAATAATGAAAATGATAATAGTAATGATAATGATTAACACTAATAATGATAGTAATATAATAATGATAATAATAATAATAGTTGTAGTAGTAGTAGTAGTAATAATGAAAATAATAATATAATAATAATGATATTAATAATTATAATGATAATGATGATAAAGAGGATAATGATGATGATAATGATGATAATAATAATGATAATCATAATGATAATAACAATGATAGAAATAATGACAATAATAATAATGATAATAATGATAACGATGATAATGATAATGATAATAATAATTATAATGATACTACTACTACTACTACTACTACTACTACTACTAATAATAATAATAATAATAATAATGATAATAATAATAACAATAACAACAACAACAACAATAATAATAATAATAACAACAACAAAAACAATAATAATAATAATAATAATAATAATAATAATAATAATAATAATAATAATAATGATAATGATAATGATAACACATAAAGATAATAATAATAATGATGATAATAGTATTAATAATAATGAGGATTATTCTAAAGATAATAGTAATAATGATAATAGTAATGTACTACTGTTAATGATGATAAGGATATTGTTGATTGTGATAATGATAGTGAAAATCATTATAACAATAATAATAGCAATGATGTTATGATAATACTGATAACAATAATCATGAGAGCGATGATAATAACGATAATTATGATAATAAAGATAACACATCCATTAACATCACAACGGCAACAAAACAGTTTGAACAAAACAACAGCTCTGGATGTACTGAAAAAAAACGCAAATGTCGATTATGATTATAAGCATAATAATTATGACTATTAACAAAGCAAGTGCAATATGAATAACAATAAAAAACAAATAAATATTGCGCGATTCCATTTACAATAGTCATCCCTTTAGTCCAAAATAACGCTTTCTGTTACTGAAGAACATCACTAAATATCATTAATTTAACTAGTTTTGATAAAATTTTGTACGTTTTTGATAACAAAAAATTATAAGAATTTGATCTGAAACACCCAAAATTCTATCAAAAGAAGAAAAGCGAGAAAAAGTTATAGAAGAGAACCATGAGCGTCGCCAATGTTGTTTTCGCTCCTTCTTCGTGAGAGTCCTCGGGCGTGAACACAACCGCCGTGAGTCTCAATATTTTTCGCTTTTGTGGCCTCTCTTACTGCTTGTGTGTGTGATTCAACTGGACCATTGCAATTTTGGATTACTGCGAGTATTGCTGAGCTGATTTTTGGTTCGTTATCTCGTAACGGAAATTAGATGAAAGTAGATATAAAAATAAAGTGTGTTGGGTGTCGAGGGGAGAGGATGTAAACATTCCCCGGATCATGGAAACCTGATGATAACATGTGACTGGTTTGCGCTGATATTACTTGCTATATTATTGAAATTCTGTTAGCGGCTTGGTATTCTCCTACATTCTAGGGTATGGGTATTTATATCGTTAATTACAACTGGTGTGTTACGTTGTATTAGCCACATTGTATAGGTTGTCACTTCTGAACTCGTGGCTTATCATGTTCTTCATAAAGGAAATGCATTAATGAGATTGTTAAAAGTGCAACAGTGAAAGTCATTATTCTGAGGGTACGGTTTAAAGTGATGCTTAGGCCTTAACTTGTTCCATTGTTTATTCTTAGAGTTCGTGAGTTGTCTCAAGATTTCAAGACATTGAATTCCCAAGGGCTTGTTTTATTCGTTAGATTTCTATTGTATTTACCGGTTTCTCATGTTTTCAAGAATACTTCTAACGTGAATGATTTTCTAGACTTGTACATTTCGATCAAAATAATTATTATACCAGTGCACTAGTAAATACTGGTGAAAAGTCTAAGTAAATCTATCAGATATGAAGTATCTTTTAAGTATTATAGTCATGCGCCTGTAATTTTGAACAAGCCATAGTGTCCCTCCCAAAATCTTTGAATGGCATTTGTCACATGGTTTGTTTATTAGTTTACTTTCCACTATAGTATACAATTCTGATAGTTATGCAGTCGATAGTTCGTGGTATACTGTATTTCGTGATTTGCTCGGGTGGCATCTATTTTAATGGTCGTTTTACTAGCCATTAAAACTCATAATGTGGATTTTGATAATTTAATCTAGACTTGGGAATGTACAAGGATTATGGTTGTGGTCAATGAATGTACTTAAAGCATCCTCTCTCACACCCGTTGCTAAATACAAGTTAATTCATTCTGGCTAGGGAGTGTACATATGAGGTGTTATATGAAACATATGGGGGTGCAAGTGGAAGTGCCCTCTGGGTATTTGGTTAGGTGGGGCTTATGCTTGTAGCTTATGTTACCGAGAGATGTGCAGAGATATTGGGAAATATTAGACATAAGAAAGTTGAACACTACTGGTACATCAGCTGTGGCCTAATATTTACTGCAAAATGACAAATATGTGCTGTTTATCACTGTTCAGAGAGTTCACAACACCCCCACACAGCCAGTTCTTAATGTTGATTTTGTATAAGTTGGCTTGAAGTGCTAATAAAGGAAGGGAATGGGGCTTGTCCCCCCAGTCTAGGTATGAATAGAAGATAAGGAAAGGTAGGTTCAAGTTTTGGGTTTGCTTGATACCTTGGCTTTGGGACTCTCTCTTTGGGGGGTGTATCACTTGGTTTCAAATACTTGTTTATATGTTCCAGCAAACTTGACAAAAGGATAGATTGGGTGCTCATAGACTTTCAAAAGTTGGCCTTTTTTGCCCTGCAATTTTTGACACTTAATCTACTCCCTTACTGATCGGACTATCATATATAAGATTGTTAGTTGTATTCAATGTTACATTAATCAGTAATTTTTTTATAGTATGAATGCACTTGCCAGTGACTCCCTTAATTCCATATCATAAAATTCCTTAGTCTAAGTTACTGTGGCTGGGCATGCACCCCAACAGCCCCCATAAAACTGTCTTTACCACAGAATGCCCAACAAGGTAGAGCTGAAATTGGGAGCAGAGTGTGGGCTTAGGCTGAGAGTGGTGCTGTTCATGAACTTTCACCCTTATTCATGGAGGCTTAAAATGGTCTAAAATATTTTTGGTAGTTTTCTATAAAAACTATATATTTGCAATGTGGACAGTGAGAGGAATCCAACGATACCAAAATTGTCGATATCAAAGAGGGGAAGGTAATATAGAAAATTACCATATTTTTTAGTAAGGTTAATCTCTACGGCATGGACGCATTTGGTTTGGGCAAAAGGACAAAAAGTTGGTCTTTGGTACAAGACACAAATGGTAATGTTACCAATAAAGGAAAAAGCTTGTGGAAAGCGCCACTCTCAGTTGAAGTCCACTCCCGAGTTTCAGCTCTATTTTGCCCAGCATACTTGAAGACAATGTTTCATGGGGGGTTCTGGGGGTCAGAGCTCCCTATCAACCCTCCCTTCAGGCAGTACCTGAAGGGCATGCACAGTCAGGGCAACTATAATTATATTTTTTGCTGTGCAATTGGACTTGGTCTCTGGCGAGTGCATTCATACTGCAAAGAAATACCTTTGGCCTAACCACTAATGCCAAAATATTTTGAAGCCAATGATAAAAGTTTCTGGGTGGTTAGAAAATCGGCACGTGGGACTGGCCCGGACTTACCTTGTATGTATTCCCTAGACCCCCCCCCCCCTATACCTCCCTTTATTAGCACTGCATGCCAACCTGTGGAAAATGGACAGCATGAACTCTTGGATTTTTGAGGGTGTTCTTGACTCCCTGAACTATAATATGCAGCTAATTTTTTGTAATTTCGTGGTAAATGAGATTAAAGCAGCAGTACCTTTATTTGACTCATTTCTTGTGCTCTGAGATGAACGTCCATTTCCTTCTGTTGCTTTTGGTAACCTTAACCATTTTTCTCCTTCAAGAATATTATGGTAAATTAGGGCTACCTTATTGAATCCATGCCATAAAGATTAACCCATTAATCAAAATTGGTTTAGGTTATCGAGAGTGACGCACAGAAATAGGAGGGAAATAAACAAGGCCATCTTATTGAGTGTAAGAAATAGAATAAGAAATAACAGTTTAACCCATCAGGGACGGGTAAAAATTTTGTCAAGTTTACGTATGCACCGGCTTGTTGGCGCGCACTGGCAGTTTCCCCTGTTTGTGCCCTGCTCGATCGGTAGTTTGCGAGCGACATATAGCACCTAAAAGCTTTTATTTTGCTATAATTCATAAAAATATTAAAATTTTGAAGGCTTACCTTCACTAGGTGCCATTGCCTAAAATCTTTACCATATAAATGAAGCCGCTACTAGTGGAGAAAACAGCCTCCTTCCGACGAGCCAGTAGCGCGGGAATGGGCATGCCCCTGGCGTTTGGTCCACAACAGCCATGGCATGTACGTACGTGACACCCGGCACCAATGGTTAAGCTGCAGCCACCCCATATTTACCAGTAAATGAGGAATATGTCTGCATATCACCACTCACTGTCCACAACACCCTTGCACAGCCAGAGTTCTTAATGTTTGTTTTCTGTGGTTAATATGAAGTGCTAATAAATTGGGGGTACAGTGGGGCTTGTCCCCTGTATAGGAACTAGTAGAAAGGTTAGGCTTTGATTCTATCTTGCCATGCATACAAATGAGGTGAAGACATTGTTTCCTAGGGAGTCAACCCTCTCCTTGGCAGTGCCCAAAGGGCTTTGCCCAGCCACGGGAACCTTGACTGATGAATATATTCTGTAACATGGAGTTTGGGACGTAGTCTCTGTTGAATGTGTCCGTACTGTAAAGAATAACCAATTTTCATAGTATATTTTGCATTGAAATTGAAACAATTGGGGCTTGAGTATAGAATCGTAGTCTTAAATGGATCGTTCAATTTTACAAATTTTGGTAATTCTTTCCAACATAACCGTACCCATCGAGGCTGTCCCCAACTCCAGTCAACAATCTTGGGATCCCGTGGGGAATTGGGAGTTGGGGGAGGGGTATAGTCGATTTTGCGCATAGTAGAGATTTTAAAAAGGTAAAGAAAGTGTAAAAATGAAAAACCCGAGCCAAGAATCGCATTTCACAAAGTAAAGAGGATTTGATACCGTGTTGCGGAAACAAACGAGCGAGCGAATCCGGCATAAACGCACAGTCATAAAGATAATCGTTAGAAAGTAAGCCCTGAAACCTTTTATTCAGCTAGCTGACTCTTGTAAAATATTCACCATTGCACTTTTTCACACTTTAAGTTTTTCAATATTAAACTGTGCTCTTGGCACATTTTGAAAAGTCTTATGTTATCACTATATTTGTGAAAAATCCCCATAACCGAATTCGCAAAACATACGATTCATATCTATCGACCAGCGAAGGAAGAATGACCCGGGTCTTGAACCCTTAAAAGCTGGGTCGGACACTCGTTAAGAGCCGGTTATTAAGCGTAGTAATAGAAAGTACTTCGGTGGTTATGAAAAAACAAAATATACGTTATGTAGCTAATAATGCAATGTAAATGAATGTTTAAGGGCATATTGTGTATATGGGAATAAATAAAGTGATTAGTACAAATAAAATTTAAAAAGCACTATCAGATGAATTGTAATAATTTGAAGCTGTTTGTAATTAGCATGATGTTAATGGTAGTACATGCGCAGTCTTGCTTTAAAAGCTGCACTTGGACTTGTACTCGTGAGCCAATTTCCGACTTGTGTGTGTTCCACGCGCAGGGACTTTGCAATATTTTTTACTCGGTGTGGCAGGGTCAAGGTCCTTTGCGATAGTTAATGCAAATTTTGCTTAGATGGAGTTTAAGCCTAAGCAAAATAAATGCTTGCATTATCTATTGGAAATAGCATTGGGATATGGTTGTTGTGAGAGCAGGAAGGTTATTGGGATAATAAGAGGATACAAGTGAAATTGAAGTCGCATTGGAAGGCCCTCTTCCATAGGAATGGGAAAACCCAGAAATATTTTGAGCAAAAGTTGGTTTTGCTTGCTTCCTCCTTTTTCCAGTTTATTTCAATTTATGCCCATACCATGGAATCTTTGTTAATGAATGGCAAGCAGTGAATTTGTGTGAAAATTTTGGAGGTGAACTCTATCATAAATTTTTATGCTTAGTACCGATTTTTCTCCATGGTAATAAATTTGAGGTTTCATCTGTGAATATTTTTCTTACATTTGTTTTATTATTTCCCTTCCAGATCATGTCGGGAGGATTAAGTGTTATGGCTTTGGAAGAGAATGATGTGACGCGGTTCCTGGCCGCGTCCACTCATCTCGGATCCAGCAACATGAACTTCCAAATGGAACAGTATGTTTTCAAGCGCCGCCAAGATGTGAGTATTAAAAAAAAAAAAAAAAAAAATTATAATAGAGATGTTAAAGAACAAGGTCATACAATCTAAAATGAAAATTTGTCAGTAGAAACACACAACAGGCCTATTATCTTGGCACTGCTGGTTTATTGTTATTTACATAGGTTTTCTTTCAATTCATAGGTGTGCACATCATTCATCTGCGCAAGACATACGAGAAGATCTTGCTGGCTGCGCCATTGCAGCCATTGAAACCCAGCAGATGTGTACACCATCTCTTCCCGCCCCATGGGCCAGCGTGCTGTGCTGAAGTTTGCCCGTTATACTGGTGCAACCCCATTGCAGGCCGCTTCACCCCAGGAGCCTTCACCAATCAGATTCAGGTGATTTGGGAAAAGATGCAGAATAAGACAAGATGGGAAATATGACTGCATGATATTTATCTAATGAAGAAGTCGGAGTATAAGTTGCTGAGAGCGATGCACAGAGATAGGGGGAAATGGACACTGCCATCTTACAGAGCAAAAGAAATGTAATAAAATGCAACATTGGGATTTAGAGTAACTGGAATGTGCGTCTCTGTTCGGTACCAAAAGCCGATGTCTGCTTTAGAGTTTATATTGATGCTCTTGAATATTTCAGGCTGCTTTCCGTGAGCCTCGTCTCCTTGTGGTGACTGATCCCATCTCAGACAGGCAGCCAATTACTGAGGCTTCCTATGTCAGCATTCCTGTTATTGCTTTCTGCAATACTGACTCCCCACTTCGCTATGTTGACATTGCCATTCCTTGCAACAACAGGGTAAGTTATCTACTTCAGTTCCACTTGTAATTCATATTTTGGGAAATTACATTCTTGAATATTCTGAAGTATGAGTCTTTGTTAGAGGCCTTACTGCTTGTTTTTTTTTTTTTTTTTTTTTTTTTTTTTTTTTTCTACTGCTATGTTATTCTGAAAGAAACAGTACATTATATTTTGAGCACTGCTTAGAATTGTTCTATAGTTTTCTTATTCTCCCTGGCCTAGCTCAGGCTGCAGTTTTTGAGCTAAGAAAATGGAACAAGCCTTGTATTGTGTATTATTCTAAGGAGGAAAATGTAATTTATATAAATTCAGTTGCCCATATTCCCCCATCCCCCAGTAACTGAAAAACGAATACATTTTCAGAAATATTTGCTATGAGATCACCTAAGAGTTCTATGGTAAACGTTTTTGAAGAAACCACTCCCCCCCCCCCCCATCCCCCCTTCCCCAAATTGTCTTCTCAGAAGTCCCCATTAAATACTATTGCAATGATGTGTAAACTTTAACATAAATATAGAAGTGTATAGTAGTGCATACTGCTACATGCTGGGTGATAAGGTGTGCAAGGCATTTGGTACAAACTTTGAGATAGTCACCTGGCATCTTTGATGACTATTCTTTCTGATGAGACAACATTAAACCTTCTGCCAATGGGTTGAAATGTGATGTACATTTATGAGAACAGACTTAAGTGGAAACTTCATGCAACTTGTTTTTTTTCCAGAGCCCCCACTCCATTGGTCTGATGTGGTGGATGTTGGCCCGTGAAGTTCTTCGTCTTCGTGGAACCATCTCCCGCAACCTGCCATGGGAGACAGACGTCATGCCTGATCTGTTCTTCTACAGGTGAGTTTCTTTAAGCTAGTTACAAGTGAAGATAGCATGGTAGTTTTGGCAATGTAGAATATTGTCTGTGGCCCCTATTTTGTAAATTCATTTCATAAGGTTAGGGATTTCAAAAGACCCCTACTTCAAATGTCATCAGGTTTGTGCTTAAAGTCCCCCAGTATTGTTGCTCCAATGATTGTTTTGCTTTGCTCATCTAGCTCTATGAAGTTGTTACCAGTTCCTTGCCTTTTTCCCCCATGTAACTTTTGCAAATTATCAGTACTGCCCAGTGAGAACCTCAATAGCTTAACCATTCCAGTTTGAGAACCTGGTTCATTGGCATGAGCATCTGCAGGTTTCAATGTGTGGCCATGTAGTAAATTGTTACGAGGAATTGTATTTTGCTGGAATTGTATGAGAAGTTTACTTGTATGGTTTTCTTTATTATAGTGAGCATGGTTTTGTATTGAAGATTTAAAAGCAATTTTCCTCACTTGTTTCTGGAGGCTTGCACATAAAATTCCATCTGCAGTTCTTTGTAATTCATGGTATTCTCGGTGTCTGTGTATCAAATTCTTGCCTAAGACCATTTTTATTTTCCAATAGGGTGTGTCTCACAGCACATAACACACAATTATGGTAGAAATGCTGTGTGGCCTAACATTACTACCTGATTATTAGGGTCTTAGGGTAATATCTGAAGTGTAGGTAGATGTACCTCTCCACTGGTTGATAAAAGGCAGTAGGGGGGAGGGGGTATATGAAAGGAGTGAAAAGTCATTACTAATTTACCTTATTTCTGAAAGTTAATGTAAGATTTGTTATAATAAAGTTTTGAATTTCTTTACAGGGATGCTGAAGAGCAAGAGAAGGAGGAAGCTGCCAAGGCCGAGGCTGCCAAGGCTGAGGCTGAGGCTGCCAAGGTAGAGACCCCTGCTGCCGAGAACTGGGGCGCTGATGTGAATGATCCCGATGCCGTAGCTGCTGCTGCCGGTGCTGGGACTGCTGCCCCTGTGGCTCCTGCTGCTACCGGGACTGCTGCCCCTGTGGCTGCTGCTGCTACTGCTGCTGCTGTTGCACCAGCAGCTACTGTTGATGACTGGGGTCAGACTGTAAGTGTTTATATAAAAGGTTAAACATCTTTTCTTTGTGTGTGCTTTACAGGAAATATCTTTTATTTTTTTTCTTGCGAAATAACAATCTACTGTTTATTGCAGTCGGCTAATCTCTATTATTTTCAGGGTGATGATTGGGCTGCTGCACCAGTTACTGGAACTGGTGATGACTGGGGAGGCGCAGCTGATGGACCCAACTGGTAAACAGAAATAAATGATAGCTGCTGTAGCAATTCTTTGATTTACCTTGTATTTTTAATATGAACTTCAGCAATAAGATGAATACATGAAGTTGCTAGTGATTTAAACAGCATTGCAAAACCGGTTTTGCAGTTCCAAAGTCAGAATGAAAAATACAAGAATAATAATCATTATATGCACCTAAAACAAGAGGACCAGCAAGAAAGGAACATATCTTACCAGAAATAAGTAGATTTCTCTCCAAGCAACAGCCAAAAAGGAGATAACTTCGTAAAGGTCATCTCAAATGACCTATAATGTATTTTATAGAGGCTGCACTGCCTACAAATTTGAGTGAAGTAGTTCTCAGATTCAAACAAGGCTTCACTCTGAGAGGCCAGACAAGAAGCACAATGCTGAGAATTTTCAATCACTACTTTCTACAATACCTTGTATCAATCCACTCCCATCCACTCTACCCAGATGGTCTCTACATCTACAGCACCACTTTCCCCTGCGCCTCAACTTCCGACCTCTAATTCCCCTATCTCAAACCCTTTTTTTGTATCCTAAATCCAGACACTCCAATATCCACAACTATCCATGTCTCTCCCTACTTCCGTCTTACCTATCACATCAGAGAACCCAAACGCCCCACCCCATATCCTACCAGATCCCATCTCACACCTACTCCCTCAGATACCGATCTCTTCTTCACCTCCCCTGAGGACTAGAAACTTTTCTATGTATGACAAGAGAAAGTTCCTTCCTCTCAGCCACCCATCGAAATCTCTACCCAGATTCCGGCTGTTTTCAAAGTGACCGCCGAATTCCACCCTCCCCCTCCTCACATCCCCCTACCCCTCTTCCTCCTTACACATCCTATGCACTCCTCCACCCTCAACCATACCAAAAACCTTTACCTATTACTCCTGGATACCCGCGTAAAACCCTTCTATCACAATGTCCTTCCCCAGATCTCGCCTTTCTTAATGAACCTCCAGATACAATACTTTCACCTCCTTCCCCTGATCCCTCCTCCCACGATAATTCTCGATACTACACTGTCGCCTCCATTCTCTGATCTCATATCTCAGTCCCCAGACTCCTCTTACTTCTCAGACCTCCATTTCTACCCATAATACGTGTTGAATGATCCACAATGGCTCTGCTGCAGTAGAACATTAGAGGCATTCGCCCACGCAGACCTGACCTCCGCCATCTTCTCTCCTCTTACAATGCATCTATTGTCTGCCTCCAAGAAACCTTCCTCACACATCCTCCAATACCAATTCCCAACTCCCATTTTGTGTCACTCTCTCATTGTATATTTGCCTCCATACTTGTTCATCATAAAACACCATATATCATACCTCCTTTACAAAGCACTATACCGTGCACAGTCATCCACATTTTCCTCGGCTGCTGGATCAGTCATTTCAGTCTACTTGTCTCCTCCCCTCCCTACTGACTTTAGAATTTGAGACCTTGCTTTCCCAACTCCAACTACCTTTCCTAATAGTTGGAGACTTAACTGTCGCCATACCCTCTGGGGTGACTCTATTATTAATACCAGAGGTCGCACCTTAGAACAATTTCTATCGAAAACCGGCCTCATCCTTCTAAATTCCAACAGTCCAACTCACTTCGACATATGCAACCAATCGTTTTCATGCCTCGATCTCTTTGCTCTCCTAACCTTCATGTAGACTTCCATTAGTCAGTCTTAAACGATTTTCACTCTAGTGATCACTTCCCAATCCTTTCAACATCCTATATCCCACTCCGAAACCCCCTCGCTGGTGCTTTGA